ACTAATCTCTGTTCTTTTGGAGCAACATTTAAGAGAGTGTGTGTGTGTGTGTGACAGACCAAAAAACCATAGAGAAGTGTATAAATAGTTTGAGATGATGCTGAATACTATGGAGAAAAAGTAAGAACAGGGGATGAGGAGTGCTGAGCAGGTTGGAGCTGTGATCAGGCAAGACATACTGAGGTGCTAACATTTGATGAGGAGGAAATAAACTATAAAGCTATTTGGGAGAAAAGTATTCCAAACAGAGGAAAGAACAAGTGCACCGGCTCTGGGGAGAAACATGCTTGTCTCTTTGGAGGACTGGAAAGAAGTAGAGTGAGGGGGAGGAAGGTTACAGGAGATGTGATGGGGAAGACAGTGAAAGCCAGATCAGATAGGGCCTTGCAGGTCATTCTATAGTCAGGTTTCACTCTGAGCAGAACCAGAAACCAATGGAGGGTTTTGAGTGGAGAAGAGACATGGTTGTTCTGTTCTTTAAATGGCTCACTATAATGGGGACAACAGTAGAAACAGGAATGTTCTAAGTGCTTCATTTATTTATAGAGACAGGGTCACAGCTCACGGCAGTCTCAAACTCTGGGCTCAAGCAATTCTCCCACCTCAGCCTCCTCAGTAGCTAGGACTAAGGTGCATCCCACCATGGCCAGCTAATTTTAAACATGTTTTTTAGTTTTGGTAGAGATAGGGTCTCCCTTTGTTGCCTAGGCTGGTCTCAAACTCCTGGGCTCAAGCCATTCTCCTTCGTCAGTCTCCCAAAGTGCTGGAATTACAGGCCTGAGCCATTGTTCCTGGCCCATAAGTGTGGTATATGTGCTAGCTAATTTAATTCTCACAGCAAGGTACATTAACATTCTATGACATATTGGTTGTCTGGGTTGGCGAAAAATAAAAATTTTATTTTATTCAGTTCATTGTCCTTATTGCTATTACTGTTTATGTTACTTATTCATTCTCAACAATTTATAATTTCCTTACCTTTTTAACGGCAGAAGTGTGGTAGGGTGGGAGATGGGAGGGTCACTCAGCCTTCCCTTTTGAACATTGTCTTCCTTGTGAATGGACATACATTCACCCGACATCTGATGGGTGAGTTTGAAAGGAAAAAGTGGACATTTCTCTCCTTCTTGCCCTCAGGCAGCACAGGTGGGATCTTCCCTGCTCTTCTCAGCACTAAGTTTTATGAAGGCTGGCCCCAAAAGTCTATGGTGGACCAGCACTGCTTATGCCTGGGTAAGTCTAATCTGGGGTTCAGCACTGGGAGCTAATTCAGCTCTCACACCCTAAACAACATGTTCTGACAAGAACTTTATCAAAACTGGTGACGTTCGGACTCAAACTACATTCTATATCGTCTTTATCCTACTTGATCATGAGGAAGAAAGGGAGTACAGTTTTAGGGTCACCTCAAATCCTAGTGTTGCTTTTTGCAGCACTTCTTTTAGTTCTTAGAACAGCCTCTATGGGGTTTTATTTAAAAATTTTCTAAGGTTCTATTATAAAGACACATGCACACATATGTTCATTGCAGCACTGTTTACAACAGCAAAGACCTGGAACCAACCCAAATGCCATTCAATGATAGAACGGACAAAGAAAATATGGCACATATACACCACGGAATACTATGCAGCCACAAAAAAGGATGAGTTCATGTCCTTTGTAGGGACATGGATGAATCTGAAAACCATCATTCTCAGCAAACTGACAGAAGAACAGAAAACCAAACACCACATGTTCTCATAAGTGGGTGTTGAACAATGAGAACACATGGGCACAGGGAAGGCAATGTCACACACTGGGGTCTGTTGGAAGGTAGGGGACTAGGGGAGGGACAGAGGGGGGTGGGGAGGTTGGGGAGGGATAACACGAGAGAAATGCCTGATTTAAGTGACAGGGGGATGGAGACAGAAAACCACTATGGCATGTGTGTACCTATGCAACAATCCTGCAAGATCTGCACATGTACCCCAGAACTTAAAGTAC